ATTTTTGCAAAATATGCCTTAACCCTACACTTTTATCCTATGAAACTCTATGGTTTTAAAATTTAATAATTTTATATTTGAGAACTTGAGCTGATTAGATAAGAAAATAATTTTTGGAAGTTTATTTATATTGATTAGGAATTTTAATAACTTTTGTAAGATATGTCCTGCATTTTATTATATAAATCTCTATGGAAAAACTAATGTTTGGGTATATTTTAACTTAAGTTGATCAGATAGGAAAATAATTTTTAAAGATTTATTTATATTGAATATAAGTTTTAATAGCTTTTGTAAGATATGCCTTAACCTTATATTTTTATTGTACGAATTCTTATAGAAAGATTAATGATTTTATATTTAAGAATTTAAGTTAATTAAATAAAAATTAATATTTAAAGGTTTATATATTAAATATAAGCTTTAATTAAATAGGAACTTTAATTGAATAAGAGCTTTGATTAAATAAGAGCTTTGATTAAATAAGAACTTTAATTGAATAGGAACTTTAATTGAATAGGAGCTTTAATAGTTCTTATAGGATATATCTTAATCCTACATTTTTATTATACAAACCTCTATGGAAAAATTGATGATTTTATATTTAAAGACTTAAGTTAATTAAATAAGAAAATAATTATTAAAGGTTTATTTATATTAAATATAAGCTTTAATAACTCTTGTAAAATATGCCTTGCAATTTTATTATATAAATTTTTATGGAAAATTAATGATTTTATATTTGAGAGCTTCAGTTGATTAGATAGGAAAACAATTTTTAAAAGTTTATTTATATTAAATATGAACTTTGATTGAATAGGAATTATTAGAGTTTCTATAAGATATGCCTTAACCTTACATTTTTATTATATAAATTTCTATAGAAAAATTAATAATTTTATATTTAAGAATTTAAGTTGATTAGATAGGTAAATAATTTTTAAAGGTTTATTTATATTAAATATGAGCTTTAATTGAACAGGGGCTTTTGTAGGACATGCTTTGCAGTTTTATTATACGAAATTTTATGGAAAAATTAATGATTTAGTATTTAAAAACTTAAATTAATTAAATGAGAATTAATATTTAAAAATTTATATATTAAATATAAATTTTAATTGAATAGGAGTTTTTGTAGGATATGTTCTGCAGTTTTATTGTACGAAATTCTATGGAAATTAATAATTCTATATTTGAGAACTTAAATTAATTAAATAAGAAAATAATTTTTGAAGGCTTGTTTATATATTAAAAATGTTAGATTGGCGGATTTTATCCTGGCCCTATTACTTTAATTTATTATTATAGAAAGTTTAATAATTTTATACTTAAAAGTTTGAATTAATTAGATAAAAAAATAATTTTTAAAGGTTTATTTATATTAAATAGGAGTTCTAATAATTTTTGCAGGATATATCTTACATTTTATTATATAAATTTCTACAGAAAAATTAATAATTTAATGTTTGAAAACTTAAGTTAATTAAATAAGAAAATAATTCTTGAAGGCTTATTTATATTCTAAAAAGCCTGTAGAAACCTTAAAAGGATTGGTTTTATAGAGGTTAATAAGGTCTTGTAATTTCAATTATGTAATTATATTACAGCCCTTTGTAAACCCCCCCCCTTCCTTAAAAAAAAAACCTTATGTAATTGGGGTTTATGTAATTGGGGTGACTCAATTATAAAAATAATTAAAAAACAAATTTAATTAAAAATATAAGAATAATTTTAAAAGAAAGTATATATTGAATTTGGGTAGTGTAATTATGTAATAGGAGCTACCCTGAAGGACCCTGTTGGCTACCCCCTCTAAGATTTATACGCTCCTTTGGATATAAATAAGCCTTTAGGAATTGTTTTCTTACTTAATTAATTTAAATTATAAATAATTCTTTAGAAATAATTTTTATAAAGCTTTTATATAAAAATATATAATTTTTATTTTTTTTTAAAAAATATCTTTTTAAAATGCATTATTATTAATAAATAATTACATATATTTATTCTTCTATTCAATTGTTCTATTCTCCTTAAGATATAGTCACCCTATATCCTCTATATTCATATAGCCTCTGACTTATTATGGATTAATTGAAGTGCAGGGCATATCCTGCAGGAATTATCAGAGCTCCTGCTCAATATATGTTCAATATATAAGGTACCATTATATATAATGATAAAAATGAAGATATTTAGATATATTAAATTAAAAATAATTATTTTAAAAAAAGAACATATTTTGGTCAGAAATCCAAATATGTGGAATTAAATCCAGGATTAAAGTGGGTCTGTACCACCATAGTTACATGACCAACATTCCCACAATATAAATTAATTTATATTTTAAAAGTAAAATTTTATTTTTTTATTATTTAATATTTTTCTTATATTATATTTATTTTTTGAAAAAATTAATAGATTTTTTAAATTATTAATATTAATTTTATAATCCTTAATATTTTAATATATTAATTAAAAGATTAAAAAGAACATAAATTTTTTTAATAAATTTAAATTATTAAGACTTAATTAATCTTATATATTTATATTATAAATCAAAATTATAAAAGCCTAATTCTATACTTCTTAATTAATAATTATAAATAATTAATTTTCATTTATAATATTATATATTTATATTAAAATATAATTAATATTTTTAATTATTATATAATATAAAAAATTATAATTATGGAATTCAAATTATTCTTATTAATTTTAAAATTCTAAAAAAAATAATGAAGCTTTTATGGAATTATAATAAGGAAAAGAATTTTCCAAATTAATTTTCAGGCTTACTAATCCAACAATAATTACCATTAAATAGGAACTTTATATCTTCTTTATTTTCTTAAATATTAGCTATCCTCTAATCCCACTGAAATAAGAATGTAAAAACAATAAATAAACAATATAATAATTTCTACAAATATTACAATCATAGGCAAGTTCACTTCTTCTTAAATGATCTATCAGATTTGAAAGAATTTGGAAGTACTTATGGCTTTAACCCGCAGGCATAACCGAAGGAATGATAAGCCTTACTCAGCCTGCGCCCTAATTCTTACAAATATGGGACCGTAAGCCTTTCAAGAAAACTCGGCCGGCTATCTGCAGTTAGGGCATTCCGCAGGTAATACAACTCCCGTCGCGGGGAAGCTTCCCAACATCTTGGGGTGCAAGACACGTCTACAAGCTCTAGCAATCATACTACATGGATTGTGCCACCTTTATCTAAGACCTTACCACCGCATATTCCTTCCTACCTTGAAAATTACCAGATCTGATGACGATAAGACATGCATATCTCCTTCTCACGTAAGGCATAAGGCCCCGAGCACTTGCATTTGCATTTGCCTACTCTAAATACGGCTCTGGTATACTTCGCAATAGACTGGAAGAGAATCCATATACGCTGACGATATAGCTGACTAAGTAGTAGTTATAGCTATTCCTAAGCTATACGGCGAGAGCATCAGGGATCCTATATAGGAGAGATATTCGAAAGGGGCCTCGAATACGTACGTAGGCTAACATAGGCACACCGAGTTTACAAGCTTGATTGATTAGGCCGATGGCATCACTTGCATCTGATAAAAATTAATATATACAACTTACAATCGAATTCTACGTGCATTTCATAGCGCAGAGGATTATTCATCGACGGAGAGGTGTCTGAAAAGTCTACCGATAGATTCCCGCCGTATATTCTCCGAGTGGTATCTGTTTTATGCAGGCTGAGACCGGGAATTTCCCGAATAAGACGAGGATGCCCGAGCGGGAGCGGGGTGCCCTAGCTTGATAAAAAAGGGCAGGACAATCATTATCTCTCTACTCGTCCCTCGGATCCCTGGGCTCAGCCCTTACTACTTCTAGTATGTAACCACCGACTCGAGGTATAGATGGCTCCGATATTTGTGGATCGTTAGATACTCTCGTGGTAGAGGACATTCTGGGAAGAGTGTCTGCGCCATCGGCTTACGCATGACTCTGATCGTTGTGTACAATATAGATTTCGATCATCATTAGGATACACATTCCATATTCGTCCTCATTACTGGGCCTCTGATACTTAACGCCACAGACATAGCCCTACATGGGTTGTAATCCCGTAAGCATCTGCGTGGAGCATCCTCGTAGTACGTGTACTATGTCCCAAATTATGACCCTAATCAACACGCTACTACAGCCGCTTGGGTTTTGGTGATTCTTTAGTTAACTACTCTCCATAAACGTAAATAGCCGTACTTTATCTACTCTAGGATATTGAACGGAGCATGTGGCCTACAGAGTACTGGACTATATTATCTAGTCACTTTGAGATCAACTTTCTTGAATCATAATAAAGTCGTCAGCGCGCCTCTGAGATTCGTTATGTGACATTGCCCATAACTTCCCATAGTGTTCAAAGTGTACTCCAAACAATATACATTATGGAATATAAGTTACTAATAGATCTTGCTCTCGCCGGCCTATGCTTCGTAAGGGGTGATCTAATGATTGGGGGTACTTATCCCTGTGTGGGCCGGACGTCATGCTCTAGGTGGATGGTATAGCAGTTATGACTGATTTTTTGAAACTTCTCGTGTGTGAACAATTCTAGGGCTGGTATTCTAGTTTTGGTTATTGCTAAAAGGGGCAAGCTCGCTACTCCGTGGATTCCACTATCCATACATGACGACGAGTAAGGGGGATGTACGCACATCAATGTATCTGTGGATAGGAGGGTGTAATATGCATTTGTGGTTAGAAGATTCTCATGGGTATCACAGTAAAACGTTGGTCAAATGGGAATTGGTAGCTATTTCTCGGGGAAATTCCTTATACGATTTCATGGCATCCTGGGCTTATTGTTGCATCGAGAAGATGCTGATCAATACTTGTATACGCTTCTTTGTACTCGAAAGGCCACCGAGTAGAAATATTTAAAATAATACTTACCTGTATATTATTATCGGGATATCCGAGCGTTAAAAGTGGGAAAGAGGAAAAAGAAGGGGCACCTACGGGGTTCGAACCCGTGATCTCTCCCAGTTTGCACCTCAAAGTTACCCAAAGGGAGTGAGTTTCCACTTCTCCAAGGCACCACTGCGTCATTTAGTTGTGAAGATAGGACTGGCAATTACGATACCTAACCTCTTCATCGATGCGCGAGCGCCATGAATCGGGTACCTAGGAAACTGCTGAGGTTCATGTGCCGTCCGGCGCATTTAGGCGTCTGATTATTTGCAATGGGTACTCTAGGCCGTAATAGATATCTGTATATCAACATTCAAGCTATCTACCTTATATTTACACGACTGCCTCAGCATACAGGAGACCACCCAGATCAATCAATGTTTTGATATTTACTATCAACCATCTTTGTAATACCTACCTACATAAGTGACGCTTCCCTCTACTCCCTAGCGAAATTTCGTCTTTATACAGAATAAGTTAATTAAAATTTCATATATTGATGAAATCCCAAACGAACTGGCTTGAAATTATGTCTGCATGGAACAAAAAAAAAAGGAAGCTTCATCTGATCCAATATGAGTGTCTATCTTTTATATAGGCCACTACCTACGCATGTCTCGAATGGCCAACTGATATTGTAAAAATGACAAACAATAGAAAAGGACCAACTAGTTTAAGATATTCAGGCAATCCAACGAGATACTTGACGATCGTAATATCTCCCCTTTCGATAAAGTGGCTCATAGTATACACCCAATAGAAAAGAATTACTACACCTAGACATATCCTAGAAGCAACAGAAATATATACCATAGAATAAGTTAGCCCGAGGCCAGTTTCTTCAGCTTAGTAACTGTAAAGTAATGTTAGCCACAACCTAGGAGAAGAGGAGGAACACTGCTTACTATCACTATTGAACGTATCCAAATCGCCACCGTACTTATATCCATCATTAAACTGCCAGATCGTATAATACGGCCACCCGCCGGGTGGCATGCCTGAAGAACTCGTATGCCGAGCTAAAACCACAGGATTCGTCTTAACAAACGCGCTCGATCCTCCCGTACAGCTCAACCAAAACGGCGGATTCGTGTACAGCACAGGATAACGACCCGTTTTGCTGTGATACATATCGCTGAAGTCCTTGATCCATGAGACCGTGGCGCTGGTTGATAGACCCACACAGTCGTCCTCTAGATCTAGCATAACGGGGAGCGTGATCCCGTCACCGGACCACCCGCCCCCGTTAGACACGGAGAAGTTGGCTTGCCTGGCGCCGGGGGAGGAACTTGGACGCGCGAAGTGATAGCTACCACGGATGAAGCCGGCTTATGTGGCGCCAGTGTAGCGGGTGCTGAAGCTGGGATCTTTAGAGGCAGCGCCTTTTGTTGCCTATAGAAGCTGGTGATTTCTATGAGACCGACTTAGCTTGTAGAGCAAAATCCGCTTTAGTAATCACAAGGCGAGCTCTGGAGCTGTATGCTGCACCAAAGTATACATTCGGCTGGTAGTGAGAGGTATCAAACCCAGGAGCAGCAGCGAAAGTGAGGCTGGTAAAGCCCGGGGAACTGGTGATGAAACCCTTCATGGTCATAATAGTAATTCCCGATACTCGAAGGCATTTCGTTACCTAACTCGCTATTAGAAAAGACTCTATAGATATTAGGGACAATATGGAGGATATTTATTATCTATTAGACCTGCGGTAATGATAATAGTTTGGAGGGTATGAGATAGGACTTACGGGTTTGGCAAGTACCATAGTGGCAAAGGGGTATTTTCAACAACTATTATAAAATTAAAATTATTATATGCCTTAAATTTTCTTAAGGTTTTTTAATGTAATAAAATTATATATAAAATCATCAATTCCTCCTATAACTTTTACAATAATTTATAAATTTTTTTATTAAAGATAATCTTATAAAAATATATTACCATTATTACCAATTACCCTTATTAATTTTTTATTTAATTATTTCAATGCCTTCTTTAAAATATAATTATTTTACATCTTTTATCTTATATATTCACATATTTTACAAAAGTTTTTAAAATTAAAATTAATTATAAATTAAAATTTTTATTTAATATATAAATCTTTAAAAATTAATTCTTATTTATTTAAATCAAATTTTATAAAATTATTACTTTCTTTTATAACTTTTATAATAATTTATAAATTTATTTTATTATTAAATATATTATTTATTCTATCTCTTAAGCACTAATTACCATTACTAACACTTAATTCTATCAATTTTTTATTTAATTACTTAAATACTTTCTTTAAAATATAATTATTTTACATTTAAATAATTATTAAAATTTTTATTTAATTAAAATTCATATTTAATATATAAATCCTTAATCAATAATTATTATTTAATTAAATTAAAGTCTTTAAATGTTGGATGGATAAGGTACCATTGCATATAATAGTAAAAATGAGGGTATTTAGATAAATTCAGTCAATAGTGATTGTAGAAAAATAAGTACGTATTCTGATCGTACGATCAGAATACGTGGTTATATACAGGATTAAAGTGGGTCTTGTACCACCACCAAAGTCACATGACTAATATTCCCACATTAAATATCACCTTTTATATAATTTATTATAATAATTTATAATTTCTTTCTATTATTAAATATATTAATTTTTTTAAATATTAATAATTATCTTTATTTATTAATAATTTATTTAATTACTTTAATATCTTTTTTAATATATAATTATTTTATATTTAAATAACTATTAAAATTCTTATTTAATACCTTAATTAAATAATTTATAAAGGGATTTTATTAATATAAATTCCTATTTAATTATAAAAACTATATATTATAAAAAGCCATAAATATATACGAAATATAAAAAAAGATCTTTAACTTTTTTAATTCATTATATTAATTTAAAACTTTCTTAAAAATATTAATAATAAATATTATTTAAAAGATAATTAAATTTATGATTTTTTAAAATATATTATATATATTTCTGATTGGAATTGTTTATATAATAATGGAAAATGTTTAAAAATGCGGGTCTTTTTTCTTTTCTTAAATCTTTTATAAATTGATTGGTTAATTTGATTTATGGCGCAACTAATGAAATAAGAAAGATATAGATTATTTTTATTAATTCTTTTATTTGATTATTTTAATATCTTTTTTAAAATATAATTATTTTATATTATTTATTTTATTTAATTTTTTGATTATTATGGGGTAGTGTTGGGCTAAATGTACGCATAAGAGAAATAACAGTGAAAGCAAGTAATAAGTAAAATAATGTAATAAGATTTATATATTTATAAGTCCTAAAGAAGAGAGTTATTTATTTTAAATTTAATAGGTTTAGAATTTTTATATATATAATATTTTAATTATATAATATTTCTTTTATTTATTATAAAGGTTTATAATATTTGATAATATATAATTATTATTTATTTATTTATTTTATAAATAATAGATTATAAATTATTATTAATTTTTTATTTTATATAACTTTTTAAATGTAAATTAATTTAGTTATTTTTTATTAATGTTTTTATAGTTTTATTGGGAAAAGTTTTTATTATAATATTAATTAAATTATAAGTTCTGTGGATCTAATAAATATTATTTATTTTTCTATTTTTATATAATTGTTTCAAAATTATAAAATTTATTATTAATTTTTTTTTTATTAATAATACCTATTTATATCAAATATTGGTACAAGGAGAATAAATTAGTACAGAAAATGAGAGGAATTTTAGGGAATAAAAAACATTCTAGTATAATATTGATTATATAATATATGATATATTTTATATTAAAATCTTAAATTATATTATATATTTTATTAATAAATATATTATAAATAATATATTTATATTTAATAGATAATTAATGGATAATATTATTAATACTTTTACTCTCATTATTTTAATCTATTGGTTTTTTGTTATTTAAAATGATAATATATCTGATTTACAAATTAAAATCTTTGTTATTTATAAATAAATCATTAATAAAAATATATAAATAGAAATTTTAAAGGTTTAATTTAATATATTTAAATTTACAGATTTTATTATCTATTTACTAAATAATTCTAATATTTAAAACCTTAATTTCCTTAATTCTTAATTCTTAATGTTAAATAATAATTAAATAATTAAAAATTATTTTGGATTAATATATAAAAATAATATAAATTTTTTAAACCCTCTACTCCACAAATTTACTAACTATATCCATAATTTTGATATTTAATGATTTAAATTTCTTAATTTAATTCTTTAGGTAATCAAAATTCCATAATTATTATTATAAATTATAATATAAATATTATTAAAATTTTCTATTCTTTTATTTAATATTTTTTAAAATTATCTTTTAATATTAATTTTAGTAAATATTTTATTTTTAATTATAAAAGATTTTATAATATTAATATTAAAGATATTATCTATTTATAAATTAATAATTCTAAAAACTATTAAATTAATAATTAATAAATAAGGGTTAAATATTAAAGATTTTATATGTAATTTATGTTGATAGTATTAAAAATAAGTTTTAAATTAATATGTATTAGATTTAATAAATTTATATAATGGTTTTATAATATATAATAATATTCTTTTAAAATATTTATCTTTTTAATTTAATTAATAAATATATATAGATTATTTATTATATTGGTATTTTAGATTAGGTATATGTTATAATAATATTTTTTATTATAATTTTCATTTTTTATTAATATAAGAATAATATTAAAATTAATATAAAATATTAACTAATCCTTTGGATGGTAGGAGCATAAATTATGATAAACTTTTTATTAAAATTATTATAATTTTGGATTATTAATTTTAATTTTTTATATAAAAAGGGAATATTCTTATTTTTAATTTTATAAATCATTTGTGATTTAAATAATATAATATTTTGGTGTATTATTAGATTATATATTTCTGGTTATAAGATGTTATTTTTAAATAAGGTGTTTAGTTCTTTTAAATTTAATATTTTATATGATTTTTTAGGTGTAATTATCTTTTTATTTATTTATAATTAAAGGGTTAAAATAAGGTTAGTCTATTCTTTATTGGAAAAATATATTGTAGTC